GAAGGTAAAGAGATATTCAAGTGTGTTTATGAAAGTGAGGAATTGTTGAATGTAAGTTTTAGAAGTGGTAATGGGTATGACAGTAGTGCAAGTAGTGATGTAAGTAGTGATGAGGGAGGTGATGATAATGATAAAATAGTTAAAAAATTTTTTAAAAAATTCTTCAAGAAAGTTCCTAAAAGGAAAAAGTCCTCAACTAGTATTAATAGTATCAAAAGTAATAGTAGCAACAAAAGTAGCAATTACAGTAATTATAGTAGTAGTGCTAGTAGTGGTAAATTCAGTAGTAAATATAGCAGTAATACCAGTTACAATAGTAATAGTAGTAGTAGTAGTCGAAGCACACAACAAAAATATGTATCACATAAACTTGCACTTCATAAAAGCACGAGATTAAACAAGCATATTCCTGAGAATGTGAGTGATTTTACTTTGCAATATAATTTTGAGATCAGAACAAGTCTTGAAGAACATGTTAGGCAACTTCATCATGGTAAGAATACCGATGAAAATAAGATTGTCTTGGAAGAATATCAAGGTATCTATTTATTATTTTTTTTTTTTTTTTTAAATAAAAAATATATATTAAATATCAAATTAATTAATTACAAATTTCTGTATATTATTAAAAAAAAAAAGACAGCAAAATACGCATAGAAATAACTAGTGAACTTGACAATGCCTTTAAGTTGTAAATATGTACATTATTAGGAATTATTTAATTATTATATATAATCCTATTCAGAGTTGGCAAATTCACGCTCATTTCAAAAAATTATGTTATTTAATATTTGAGCAATGGAAACAATGGAGTAATTTGGAGCCCCATTGCTTCAGTGTTACCAATCCTGAAACCTATTAATTGTCATTATCAATCATATAACCAAATTTTAAATCAATTATATGTATTACCGAATTTTATCTCTTAGTATTAGTATAGTAATAGTATACCGTGGGTTTCGATTTAACTACCGGAAAATTTATCAATTATTATTAAGCCGAGCTTTATGGATTTATAATAAAATCCGCTAGACACTAAAACTAAATAATGATGACTCATAAATCCATCAACTCGATCAATTCTTAAATCTTTAAGGTTTCGGGAAATACTTTGGGCAAAAATTAATTTTTTATAGGCCCAAACTATTTTTATTAATAGCCAGAATTGGCAAATTTATTCAAGTTAAAATAGGTTGATTTATACGTATAAATTTTTCACATTCATTCTTATAAAAGATATTGAAAAGCCCAAACTATTTCCAAAGTTACTTTCTTTTCAAAAATCGTTTGAGTCAGAAACCTTAGTTCAAGTGCATTTCCAAACCATTTATGGCTTCTCTATATACAAAACCTTTTAAAGTCAGAAGCTTTTATTACTTATAATAATAATTGGCCAGCTTCAAAATACTAAACAAAAAATTTTTATGTGACTCAAGCTTCAAAACTTATCGGCTCGTTTTTTCTTGAACTAAAACTTGCTGATCCTTAGTATCCACATATTAAGTATCAATTAGTATCAGTGTTCATAATCTGGAGTCGTTGTTGGAAGGAAATAATAACATAATATTTTAAATTTCTATTTTAAATTTTACTAAATAAATCTTTGAGTTTCTGGCTATCTTTTGGAAAAGAAATTTTGATTTAATACAACATTTATATGTAAGTTTTTATGTAGAACATTTCTGTCTTATAAACCATATCCACTTTTTATAATAAAAATTTGAGTTATTGTCAAAACACGCAAGTCAAGGACAGGCAGCTAGAGATATATATCGAATTTTATTGTGTAGATCTTTTCATTTCTAAAATTTAAACTTATAGCTAAATTTTGCTTATCTGACACCATGGCGTCAATGCAGTTCGTTGGTGGACCATGAGAAGTGATGTTGATTTAACTAATGGTGCATTTCTTTACCCAACACACAAATTGTTATTGAAGCAACTTCTAAAAGATATTACACACAAGTATTGCAAGGTAACAAAGACCATAAATTATTCACCGGTTCCAGAATTTATGTTGAAAGTGAGTTTGGTGACATTGAAAATTCTTTCAGTAAAGCAACCATTTCATTGTATAAAAAAATTAAATCCTCTCTCAAATACCGAGTATTCTGATCCATTATATTAAGTTGGGAGGATGAGAGCAATTTAGAAACATCATTGGAAGGTGTGCAAATTTTCTTCTTTTGTTATCAAAGTAGACAAATTTAAATTTCATATTATACTGTTAGGAATTTCTAAAGATGCTGATATAAATGAAGTAGAATAGGATACATGTCATCTTTATTGGCGAATATAAAAGATCAATGTTTGTTCAAAAAATTGGTCGAGATGGATGCCATATAGGTATTTATTAAAATTGAAGGTTTCGTTGGTTTGAAATTTGTGAGAAACAGGATTATGAAATAAATAAATAGAAAAACCTTTTTTAGATCATTGCATAAGATGACGTGTCAAAGTTTGGCTAATTAACAAATTCCAAAATGCATTCGAACTTTTTTGGAGCAACGAGATACCATGTATCAAATTTTTAATTATCATTTAAAAAAAGAACAACTGCAAATATTAATTAGTTCTATTTTTTGAAACTTGGAAGAATCAAAGTACAACTATTGAGTTGAATATAGCTTTAAAAAACCTTTATCCTACAGAACATGTGTTTAATCGACGTGAAATAGAGACATGGCGAGCAATGTTGAATGCCACTGGACGTACAAAGATGTCACCTTTTGAAAGAAATCATTCAAAGGTAACAATTTAATTAATCTTAAATTGTACCGGACACCATTAGCATCACGCTGGGCACCGTTGGAACCATGCCAAGTATTGCCCAAGTTCTCGTCTCTTTTTTATTTGACACCAATACTTCTATACCTCAACATTTTAAGCACCTGCCAGTCACGCCCGCTGGATATTTTTACAAGTGTGACATTTTTAGTAAATAAATTTATACTTTTGCAAAATGGGAAGATAAGTAGTTTAAATCGAACTCTTTTTCCTTCTTTGCTATCGTATTAATATTGACACAATAAAATACTTTTAAATAAGACTTAACTTTCGCTACATTTGTGTTTACTTTCCACCTATTCTACATTCGTGTCTATATTCCACCTTTGTGTTCGAATTTCAATGGCCTGTTTATGGGGAATATGCAATATATCTTTGTGCTCGTTCTTTACCAAATTTTGGAAGATGGAGAACATTTCTCCAGCCATTATCTGAAAAACAATGGATAATAAAATACCTACCCGACATTATTTGATCACACCATTCCAAATTCTAATGGATGATTCCAATGCCAAGCAATCATAGTAAATAATAATCTAAATATACATGTAAGAACATATAATTGATACTTTGCTAACAAATGATCACAACTTCAAACCCTAGTTGGTAGTCTATTGATGAAATCAAAAAGCAATAGTATATAGGTTGATAATGATAGTAGTAATGTCGAATTAGCAGCTCTTTTGCAAGAAGCAATTGATAATGAAATTATAGGTATGAAATTTACATATCAAAATATATGTATTTGTAGAATGTCAATAATCATTATACCTTTATTTATAAAGGCAAAATTATTAACCCCACAAGAGAATGATTTCAGCGAGAAGAAAAACGTTAGATCATGATGATGTTGTAGAAAAAATGATGATGCATTTTTTAAAAAATAGGAACAACAATTTTTAAAACTTGCCTTCAAAATTATATTCAACTAACAATAAGTTTTCTGTAGAGTTGATTATTTTGTGATAGGATGGGCATTGAAAGAAAACCAAGTGTGTGGTAAAAAAAAGAGGTAAAAAACAAATTGGTGACAAAGTCAAAGAATGTATTTTCTTTCTGGAAATCTCTGCAAAGATACGTTTCAAAAATTGGAGAAGGCTGTCCGTGACTTTTTTGAAGGCGAGTGTATACAAATTGCAATCCTTTTGATTTCAACTTGTTTTCGAAAATGGCTAGATTTGAAAATAAGGCTCGTTTCATCCATAAATATAAATAAAGCAGCCTCAACTTTATGATACTTCTCTCAATACGTTTAAACTAATGATTTTGCAATATTTTCTATAGTTCAAAGATGACTATTCTTCCAATTAGATAAATTTTTATCCATGTTTAAATTTTATAAAATACTATTAGAAAGAAGGCAAAATTAATATTGGATGCCGACCCTGTGATCATAAGTATGTGATTATTATTATAACGAGATTTATCTATATTATACGTTCTATGTACAAAGTTCACGCCAGCGCACAAAATTTTCTTGTGAAAATTTCGGAAATTTTTCCTGAAATGGATGAAATATTTACCGAAAACTCCAGCAAACTAGGGTACTTTTTGTGCACTGGTTCACGGAAAAACTTTAAAAATTGAAGCGCGTGTAACATTATTATTTTGAATGGACCACAACAATGTCCAATTTGCCTTTTTTAAATCAATCATCAAGAATGACACGATCAACAAAATGTTTTGGCCAATGCGAATATTAGTTATTATACGAAAATCTATTTTTAAAAAATCATTATTATTATTATTATTAAATAAATACGAACCAAGATAGCTGGTATGTGAGATTTATCTTTATCAATTAAAAATATTTACAAGGAAGTTTTGTGTACTTGGGATACTAAAATGAGTATAAATTAAAAATGCACTGCAAACGAACAAGGATTTAATGTCATTAATATTAGAGTAAAAACGTAATCTCGGGGAATAAAGCTACTTCTCAGTGATGTCATATGAATTCTAATATCTCCTGCTAAAATTTCACATGAAAAATACCGTTAACATATATTACCCTCGGAATGTCTTTTAAAGTTTGCAACTTGATAATTGACTCGAGTGAAATAATTTGAAATAATTTGAAATAATTTTTTTAGCATGACAAATTCTTGAAAGTCGTGGCATGTAGTAAAATATTGTTGACGTGAATCATGAGGAATTCTTTTATTTTACTATTTTTTACTCATTTGTTTTTCTGGTATAACCATACCAAAGCCATCGGTTACACTATAATTACCATTTATTTATCTATATTTGCGAATCAGTGTAACCGATGTCATTTTTTCCTATTATTATTATATAAAGGCGGTGGTGACCTTTCCCATTTTCTATTAATCGAATTTATATGAGGCTGTCACAATTTTTTTAAAAAAGTACTTTCGAATCGTAATGTTGGCGGTCACATTCAATAGAGTTTTCCCGGTCCTGTCAGGCTTCACACAACAACAAAAAAAAAAACAACTCGGAAAAATGCAAATACACAAGTAGTCAGATTTTCCAAGAATAAAACATAAAAAAAAAAAAACGAAATCTATTTAACAAATTAGCCTCTCTCGATTTAAAAACGGTATGCCGATGTCACATAATAATAACATATACTTTAAAACAACGGTTTCGTTTATATTTTTTTTAAAAAAACTAGAAAAAAATTTTAAATTAAAAAAGGGTTTCAAAGCCAGCCAAGAATTCAACTATGTTTGTTTGTGTTTATACTAACACATAATACTCAATTTCTCGTGTCTCAATCAATCAATTAATTCAATTAATTAATCATTCAATATGTACAGATAAATAATGATTCTATTTTTTATTATTAATATTAAATGATTTTGCTTTGTTTATTTTTTTTAAAAAAATTTATTCTTTCTTCCACCAAAGAAAATCAATGTCGCGAATCATCTTATCACCCGAAAGGAAACCCTTTGTACTCAAAACCTACAATGAAATGTATGATCATATATTCTCAAGCGTACCATCCAGAGAAGCACGAAAAGGCGCTTTTATCTTACTAATATCCAAATGTACAGAGTTCACCGAAGATGAGAAAACGTATTGTAAAAAAAAATTCATCCAAAACTTTGAATCAAACAATGCACTCTATAAATGCGGTAGACCATTTACATGTAAAAAATGCAACTCCATCAGATATTCGGAGAGGTACTGTGAGATATGCATTAGGCACCATCTGGAAAGTTTGTTTGACAGTTGGACCTCTGGTAATGAGGAAGTAGACAGATTTATACAAAATTGTCAATTGATTTCTTCTTTACCAAGAAATATCATGGAATGGATCCCTTATGACCAGTTTGAAGATGTCGAATATATGACAGAAGGTGGATTCAGTGTGATTTATACAGCCACCTGGACACGTGGGTGTACTGAAGATTGGGATGAAAAAATCCACCATTACGTGGAATAATTTAACTGCTAATTGCCGTGGTTATAATTCACGACAATTGAAAAGGAATCGACGAATTAGAATTTAACATTGATTTATTTTATTCTTGATTTGTCATTTTCGTCATTTCGTCACATTCTTCAAATTCCTTAAAGTATAGAAATCCTATTTCACCACGCTTATTTTCGTCATATGACGAAACGGAGACATTTAGTCACCCGACCTTGGTTCATTCACCATTGAATAAGTCTTGGTATGCGAAATGGTCTTAGAATAAACAAAAATTAGTGGATAAGGGTAATTTAGAAAATTTTTGTAGGGAAATTCAGATTGCAAATTATAAATTTATATTGTTCGGATCGGGCAGTCATTCAATTATGCGTGCAGGCCTCTAGCTAGAGTCATCAGAAGGATTTGAGTTGAGAAATTGGTTTTTGTAAAGCATCTTTAATGTAATTTTTAATTAGAGGGATCAAATTCTCGTATCCAGGATTCATACTGTGAAATAGTAATTTAAAAGGACTACGGGAAACTTGAAAATAAACCGGAAAAGATTTACGAAACTTACGCGAAAAGAAAATCCTGATTATTGTTATTATTATTATTGTACATTTCAAGAAGATAAAGTGTTACTCGATCAACGTAATAGTAATGAATCAATAAAATAATTGCCTCATGGAAATTCTAATTAAGAATTAAAACCGGTACAATTTAGTAAAGGTTACAATCAGTTCAGCGGGAGGAGTGTAACGTTATATCATAAATTATGTGTACACGGAATAAAATTAATTTAACGTTAGGTTAAGTTTGGATGGAAAATCTGTGTTCAAACTTGGCCAAAGAAACACAAATAAGGAAATATCAATATCTTGCATAAAAAACATCAACCATTCTTATATATGTGTATATTAGCTTTAGTTTTACAAATATATTCAAAGTTTTAATTGAATTTAATTAAGAGTGGTTATTATTATTTATTTATTTCTAAACAGTAAAACAGATTTTTTATTTTAGAATTAACATAATAAAGTACGCAACTACATAGTCAACCTTGGCATTTGTGAATTATTATTGTGTCACATGATATTATTAATATACTGTAATAATAATAATAGATAATATAATAATAATCTTTTGTAGAAGAAAAAGATAATAAAATTAAAAAGAATAAATACAGTAACAAGGACAACAATAATAACAATACCATAAAAAATAATTATAATAATAACATAATAATGGTGGAGAAGTATGGTGTAGTTGGATATTGAATGGTATAAATATGATAACAACTGGAGAGACTTTTGTAGTGGTAGTAGTAGTACTGACATTTTGCCAGTTTGTTCCTAAAGAAATTAGTGCGAAACTTAAACTGAATATTGAAATCAATAATCAGACTAATTGGAAGGAACAGGCGATGAACAGTCGACCTAAATGAATATAAATTATTACGGGGGTAGTTACATGTTAAATAGAATTAAATATTTGTATACAGTCAAACCTCGCCACAGCGAATTCATGGTTCCAGCCAAAAAATTCGTTATGACAAGAAATTCGCTGTGGCCAAATTGGTGATGATTAGCAAAAAAATTTTTAATTATAATAATAATAAATAATGATTATACAATATGAATAAATAGATAATACATGCGGAAATTAAAATTACTTATTGAAATAAGATGTAATATGTGGTTGTATTAGTTTTTCATTATTTAATAATTCACTTTTCTCTTCAATGATTTAAATGATTTAAGTTCTTTATAATCTATTTCTAAATCACCTTGTTGAAGAAAATTAAAAGCTGTCTCAAAGGCAATTACAGCATCTTTTGTTGAAACTTCAGGCGTAGTGTTACTTTCAACAACTTCTTCTTCTGGATTGAAGGTAAAGAGATATTCAAGTGTGTTTATGAAAGTGAGGAATTGTTGAATGTAAGTTTTAGAAGTGGTAATGGGTA